ATCGACAGACTGTCGAACCACTTCATGGCCGACTCCCCAAGACTACTAGGGAAGATGGTGCAGAGCAGCAGNCTAACTAGGACCATCTATCGGCAGACTGTCGAACCACTTCATGGCCGACTCCCCAAGACTACTAGGGAAGATGGTGCAAAACAGCAGCTCATTCCTCCGATGAATGGTCATATGCTGCCTGTAGTGTCTGATGTGGGAGGCTGGATCAGTTTTTCCATCATATAACTTGAAGTTCGGGACGGTGAATTTACTCGAGATTCGTCTCCTTTCGATCCACAAGGTGAAAGGAGATGATTCTGAACCGTCTCTATATTCTCCAGTTGTTCTTCTGGCTAGGTATCTAGCCAATTTTTGCTCTGGTCTCCTTAGTCGGTTGTTGAACTCCTCAGTGATGAACTACTTCTAGGAATCTTCCTCCATGACTCGAGATCTTTTCTGCTTATACTTATCTTCCTCAGCATTTTCCCCTTCTATCCTACTTTTTCTCAGGACTCTCTCGTTGGCTTTCCTTGTTACGTTTCTCCTTCTTAGTTATTTCTTTCAGTCTGGCTTTTAACTTCTTGTTTTCTTTCATAAGTTCCTTTTCCCTGGCATAGGATTTTTTAAACAGTTTGTCATGTGCGTCAAGTCAGTCCTACAAGGATTGGACCAACTTTGCCAAGGAATGATTCTCCCCCTCGACATGGAGGGATTCACCATGGTCGTTATTTGCTGGTTCTACCTGGATGGTCTGAAGCTTGCTGGGGACAATTCGTCATCTTTACGGGATTTGGAAGGACTTTTTTTCACATGCATCCTTACATCGCTATCGGATGGAATCGACACTCTATAGTTTGAATCGGAATTCCTCAAGGCAAAACTACCTATAGGTGATCCGATGGCACTTCTTAATCTTGACATGACTTTTCATTTCAATTACTAAGAAAATTTCCCACAGATGGCGCCAAAAATGTAAGTGATAAAAAATAACAATCCTCTCACACGGATGAAAAGTTGATATCTTTGGTAAGTATATGTTTCTGAACTAGGTCTTTCAGTCTTTATTTTTCTGCAAAACAAATAAACTGCCTAATATCAAAGTGCTTCGATCGAAGGTCCTCCGATGTTTAAGTCAGTAATGGATCCAAAACAATTACAAGAACACAAGGAGAGTCCAACGTACCTTTCACCTTAGCTCCTTGTGCCTTTTATAGACCCCTGTTTAGCTAGGATTTCCATGATTCTCGATTCAAGGTGGTACACCTTCCTTCAATTAGGCAGCTCTGTTTGGGAAGTTGCTGAGATCTCTCCAACAATTCCTCTTGTCGGGCCTATAATTATGCTAATTCGTTTAACCAGAATGCTTGAGTTATAGGCATCTTTCTAGCTTTTCATTTTACTGTTTGAAACAGCTCGACTATGATGAAGACTGACCTCTTCCATTTATTCCCAAGCTCTTTGAACAACTCAGTTTCAGACTGATGACTTAATGTAATGATGTTTCTGTCATGTGACTAGTCTTGTCTTGCTCACGTGAGATCATTTAATGCAAGTGCATGTGTCACGTTGGGAGCCACCCTCTTCAAAAGCTTATTATCATAAATCAACCCCTCAAGATATTTTATATGAGGAAATTTTTTTTATTCATCAACAGTCATATAATGCCTCTTCTATTTACGAATGAAATATTGATGGCATGTCAGAATATTTAGTTCATCAAGTTTAATGTATGCATCTGTATGTAAATCTAATCGTAACATAGACCATGCTACTGCTAAATTTATAACTGTAGGATTTACTAGCCAATTAAGAGGCTGGTGGGATAACTATTTAAGTTTAACTCAAAAACATGAAATTTTAAATGCAGTAAAAATAAAAACAGTAGAAGATGGTAGTATAACAACTCAAGAAGATGATGTTTACACTTTAACATAGACAATATTAAAACACTTTGTAGGATCAAGCTTACAAAGTACATATAAGAGCAAAGAACTCTTAATGAATTTAAGATGTCACACTTTAACACATTTTAGATAGTATAAAGAAGAATTTTTAGTCAAAGTCTTATTAAGAATAGACGTTAATAATGAATTTTAGAAAGAAAAATTTATATCTGGACTACCTAGCTTATTTGTTGAAAAAATAAAAATTCGTTTAAGACAAGGACATGGAAGATTTAAAATTCCTTATGAGAATTACACTTATGGAGAATTAATTTTTGAATGTATTTTAGAAGGATTAACTCTGTGTAATGATTTAAACCTTAAAGTTCAACTTAAGAGACAGAAATTAACTAGTCGTAAAGAGATTGGAAAATTTTGCAATCAATTTACTCATAATCTTGATATTCCAAAAGATAAATCTTCATCTAAAAGAAAATCTTATAATAAACCATATAAGAAAAGAAGAAAATTCCATAAAAGGAATTATGAAAAAGATAAAACAAATAAACCCACTAAAAAACATAAATTAAAAGGTAAAAAACCAATTAAATGTTTTAAGTGTGGAAAAGAAGGCCATATTGCTTCAAAATGTTTAACTAAACAAAAAAATAATGAATTAATTGTTGATGAAAATCTTAAAGATAAAATTTTAAGGATAGTTTTAAATTCAAAAAGTGAAGGGGAAGAATTTGTAACTACTTCATTTTCTGAGTGTGACTTTTGAAATATTAATGAAATTGATGAAATAAGTGAATCATCATCCAATATAGAACACTTAGGACAAGATAAAACTTATTCATCACACTGTCAAACATAAACTAATTATTATAAGGTCATTTTGGATATGAATGAATTAAGCATAAATACTTTGACTAAGTCACAGACATTAATTCTTGACCTTATAGATCAAATTCAAGATCCAATATAAAAAAGGAAGGCTATTAAACAATATTTGAAATTAACACCAGAAGAGAAGAAATCTTCTCTATCCCAACCTTATTATTTAAAAGAAGTTCTTAATCGAACAAAAAATATGATAATTGAAGAAAAAAATACTTCAATGTAAGACCTTAAAGGAGAAATTACTCAACTTAAAATTGAAATAAAAACAATAAAACAAAGACTTTTGACACTTAAAAAAATGCCAATTACAAATGAAGAAGACGCAAAAAAATGTGAATATTTAAATGTATTAGAAAAAATAACTTATCAAAAATAGTATGTTAAAATTATACTTGTAATAAATCCAGAATTTACTGTCAAAAATTGCTTTGATAGACAGTGGAGTAGATATGAACTATATTAAAGAAGGATTAATTCCTACTAAATATTTTGAAAAAACAACTCAGTCTTTAAGTACAATTGATGGTTTAAAATTAAATATAAAATTTAAAGTTTCAAATTTTTATATCTGTAATCAAGGAATTTGCATTCCAAATGCTTTTATGCTTATAAAAAATTTAAATCAATTAGTAATTTTAAGAACATCGTTTTTATCAATGATCGAACTCATTGAGAGAATTGATTTGAAAGGAATTTTAACCACTTTAAATGGACAACATATATTATTTGAGTTCATAACTCCACCACAAAAAAAAATAATAAATCAGATAAAAGAAAATTTGATTCATAAAGATAATCAATAATTTTTTTTGAAAGAAGACATAAAAGTCTTAAATATATCTAAAAAATTTAACTCATATGAAGTAAAGAATAAACTAAAAGAAATTGAAAATAAAATAATTACAAAAATATGTGGCACTATTCCTATTATTTTTTGGGATAGGAAAAAACATGTTGTTATTCTTCCTTATATTAAGGAATTTAATGAAATGATATTCCTACTAAGGCTAGACCAACACAAATGAATAAAAAATATCTAGAACTTTGTAGAAAAGAAATTAATTTATTAATGAAAAAATCATTAATTTGGCAAAACTATTAACCATGGAGTTGTGCAGTTTTTTATGTTAACAACGCTGCAGAAAAGGAGAGAGGAGTTCCTTGATTGGTAATTAATTATAAACCTTTAAATAAGGTATTGCAGTGAATTAGATATCTCATTCTCAACAAAAAGGATTTATTATCCCGATTATATAATGCTAAGATCTTTTGTAATTTTGATTTAAAATTAGGATCTTGGCATATCCAAATTGCTAAAGAAAACATGTATAAAACTGCTTTCATAATACTTTTTGGACATTATGAATGAAATGTTATGTCATTTGAACTGAAAAATGTCCTATCAGAATTTCAGAATATTATGAATGATATATTCAATGCTTATTATGCATTTTGTATTGTCTATATTGATGATATATTAATTTTTTCTAATTTTATTGATTAACACATTCAAGTAGTTAAAAAAATGGATTAGTTCTTTCTGTTAGTAAAATAAAATTATTCTAATTAAAAGTTAGACTTTTGGGTCATTATATTAAACAAGGAAGTATAGTTTCAATTGAAAGAAGTATTAAATTTTTTTATAAATTTCTTGATAAAATTAAAGATAAAAAATAATTATAAAGATTTTTGAAAGTCTAAATTATTTGACTGACTTTTATAAATTTATATTATAGATTTAAGAAAATTCCATCTCTATGGACTTATCTTCGTATTGAAGTCCTAAGAAAAATAAAGTTTAGATCGGATAAAACTGAATCTCACAAGTGACGAACGCCAACACATCACCAGTAAATTATTGTAAAATGTGACACAAACAGTAAAAGTTACGTGTAGTGAATACAGTATTGGTGACATGTCAGAATATGAGAATATATATATATATATATATATATCCGGAGTCGTACATGAACACATGAGCAAACAAGGCAACTAAAGGTCTGCACGTCTCCTACGCTGTTCGCCGCCGTCCATGTCGTTGTCGGAGCAGTGACTCCTGGAATTACATTGGAGCAGTGCCAACCAAAATACACTTAATGTGGCGATATATCAGAATATAAAAGCAGGAGCAGAAAGGAGATAAGAAACTAGGGTTTCTTTTTTTTTTTTCCCTTCTACCCTTTCGGATAATCGTCAATGTATTGAATATTCAGTCAATTAGTCCAGTCCATTGCATAAAGATTGGAAAAGAATGCAAGCTCGTATTGCTCCGAGGCGTTTTCGGGGTAACAAGCTCTTCTTCTTATACCACAGAGCAGAGACGATGATTACGAATTCCAATCGCGTTTCGTTTCATCACAATCCCATCGTCATCCCTTCACGATCTTTTCATTCACAAACCTTGAGGACATGCCAATCTCTTCCTATGTTCACCAGACAACTCTCTACTGAGCGTAAACCATGGGAAGCTTCAAGAACCACTCCATATCTCTCTAAACATGTTACTTCATTCCTCTCAGATGTCCCCGTCAGGCCTCTCCAAGACTCTGTAAGTCGATCTTTCTTTGTTTTGGTGATATTTAATTAGGTCATGGAGCACATTCTGTTGTTGTTTAATTTCATTAGAAATTTTGATTAACAGGGTCAGATGCCAAATGGGCACGCATTGTTTTCGACATCAACTGAGGGAGATGCAAGACCGGCTGCGAGAAAAGAAAAATCTACTACGATTACGAAAGGGGATGTTTCAGGAGAGCAAATTACAAACACCAAAATTCTTAGTACTCTTGCAAGATATTTGTGGATGAGAGATACTATTGAATTCAGATGGCGGGTAATGGCTGCCTTGAGTTTCTTGGTTGGCGCCAAGGTGAGCTAATTTATAATTTGAATGTACAAAGGTGGTGAGTACTTGATATGATTTTTGGTTACTAAATAAGTGGTCGTGCTGTTGTTTTGTAGGTACTGAATGTTCAGGTGCCTTTCTTGTTTAAACTTGCTGTTGATTGGTTAACAACGGCAACAGGAAATACTACTACTCTTGCTGAGTTTAAGGCTGCTAATTCAATCGCGTTAGCTGTGTTTATGAGCCCAGCAGCCGTGCTGATTGGATATGGTATAGCGCGGACAGGAGCTTCTGCATTCAACGGTACTTCACCATGATGTAATTGCTAATGCTTGCTTTTCTGTGTATATGGGGTTCCTTTTCTTTTTTTCTTCTGTCTTTTGAAGATATATATCTTTAATAATGTACTTTTTTCTGTCTTTAGACTTTGACATGGATGTTTATATTTTTATTCCGTTTCTCATAGTTTTGTCCGGATCTTTTGTGGCAGAGTTGCGAACAGCAGTTTTTTCTAAGGTCGCGTTGAGGACAATTCGATCAGTTTCGAGGAAGGTATATGATCTTGTGGAAGTTCTTTTCGTATCCGAGCACTGATTGGGGACTTTTAGGACACATGTTTTCTCCCCCCCCTCCACTTATTTTGTGTTTTCTTCCCTGCTTATCCCTCACTTTATTTGATTTTCTGTGCTTTGGGTGGGACTTAAGAGGTATGTGGGTGGCTTGGGAATCTTGATTGGATTCATTGATTTCCTGAGATTTTTGTGTGTGCAAACTACTACTGGGACAATATTTCATCAACATTCCTCTTCATGCCAATCCGGTAAAGGTGCTCTATAGAGGAGATTTCTAAAATAGTTACTTCGGTCCTTGAGAAATGTTGTTCATCTAGATTTGGTTTATTTCCTGAACGTACAGATTGTTTTGTTTACGGAATATCAGAAAGAAGGAATATGCGCCAATATAAACTTGAAAACACAAGAACGTTTAAGGGGAGGGTAAACATATGGGCAGACATAGACATGGAGGAAAACAATCATCACCTGATAAAGATAGCACACTTTTCTTCTTCATTAGTGGTCATCATGCATTCTTCTCTTGTTTTTTGGCTTATTTTTTGCTGTCAGCTGCTCCTGAGGAAGTTCCTCCTCTGGTCAAGTGCAGTTCCTAGGAAAAAGCAAACAACATGCTAGATGCTTCTGCAGGAAGTGCAATCATGCATGAATTTCAGATTCTCTGATACTATCTTTTGGTGAAGGTCCTTGGTATACATTGCACATACTCAGGATCTGCCCCTTTATTTTCAATTTAGTGAATTCTTAGTACTTACTAGAAATATAAAGTCTGACTGGTGACCATAGTACTGATCATGAATATTTGGTTTGCAAGGACCAATTGATATCTTGCGTGGATTTAAGGACTATCATTGGTTAAAAAAAATCGTAAACCTGCCTTGCCAAGTTGAATGATATTGGCTTACCTGATCGATGGTGGGCAAATTATGCTGATTCTATAACATGTTCTAATGCAATTCTTACCTTGTAAAAGTTAAATGCCAATAACTGGATACCTCTATTTTTCATACTGTTGATCATTGTATGTCTTTTAGCTGATTAACATTCTGACTTCTTGTAAGTGGCAACATATATAACAGACTCCAACTTTTGCAGGTATTTTCGCATTTGCACGAGCTTGATTTGCAGTATCATCTTAGGTACTGCCTGGAGAACTTTCTGTTCAGATGAATTTAAATTTTTTACTGGGGTGATTCTTGTCATTAATATTGACCACAGTGCGGCATGCTGTGCTTATAAAGCTTGTGTTATTGAGTGGTCATGTGCTGTGCTCTTTAGTTCCTGTTTTCCCTTTTGGGTTGCATAATGTTCAATTCCGTTATACTAATTTTCCCACTATAAAGTATAGAACGTGTACACTTAGAAGTGTAACTGCAAACACAGCCCAGATGAGAGAAAAAATTTGATAAGCTGAAACTGTTGAAGTGGCAGTGGTTAAGGAGAAATACAAGTCTGTAGAGGTTACATGCTTGATTAGTTTCTGGAAGAAGATTGCACTTTTCGCTCTTAGAGTAGAGATAAGATTTTTAAAATTAATCCAGATCCTTCTCTTTATTATGTAGGTTGACGTGCTTATCAGAGAATTTGCAGTGCTCATGCATATTTTCGNTTTCGCTCTTAGAGTAGAGATAAGATTTTTAAAATTAATCCAGATCCTTCTCTTTATATGTAGGTTGACGTTGACGTGCTTATCAGAGAATTTGCAGTGCTCATGCATATTTTCGTTCAACATATGATAAGTAGACACGTAGTAGTGAACTGTGGTGCTAGATTCATCATCATATACACCTCTTATGCAGCTATTTTATTTCAATATGTCAATTGATCAGGTTGCACGTGCAATATGAAGTTACAACAATCTGGCATTTCCCAGCAGTGCAACAACATTACACCTTTGCTTCTTACGACTTACATTTTAATTAATGTCGGCCTGCCTTGTTGCATGAATAGGAAATCTTTAACTTATTACTTTCCTGTTGTGATGGATATACGGTGTGGCATACTTGTTTTGTTCCAACTGATGAACACGTCCTGGTTAATGCCTGGGATTTCTGTGGGATTCCCTCTTTCAGTCTTGTAACTTTTGTTGACGGGTTTGACTATGTTGTTATTCTTCTCTTCCTTATTTGCTCTCTCTTCTGTTTTTTGGCAGTCGAGAAACAGGTGCATTGAATCGAATTATAGATCGCGGTAGCCGTGCTATTAATTTTATTCTTTCGTCCATGGTGTTCAATGTTGTACCAACCATCTTAGAGGTATGACTTTGTCAACTCCCTATTGTTTTAGAGCTTCACATGAGTTAAACTTTAGCTCCGGGATCAAATACTTTTTGCTCACTGGGATTTTAGGGACCATAGTGTTTTCAATATTGTTGTTATAACCTTGCTTCCGTATCTCCTACTTTGAATGCCATGATGGTGGATTTAACATGTATCCTTTCAGATATCTATGGTATCAGGTATTCTAGCATACAAATTTGGAGCACCATTTGCATGGATCACTTCCCTGTCGGTTGTTGCATATGTTGCATTCACGCTGTCAGTGACACAGGTACATTCTCTTTTTGAATGTGTTGTATGACTGTTTCTTTCCAGATTTGCTCCCATTTTTTTAGTGAATATAGTGACTTTACCCATAAACAAAGAAAAGAAAGACAGAGCAAATCAGTTGACTTTGTTTTTTAGTGATTCAGTTAGCTCTTTTCTTTTTTCTTTTTTGTAATTTAAGGTAGTCCTCTCTCTTTTATTAGTTAGCTCCCCTCCCTCTGCTTTTTTTTCTCTTCCTTTTTCATTTTTGAAAGCATTCTTTTTCCTTTGTATGCAATGTTTCTTTGTTAGTTTCTGTTGCCCAAGTTTCTACTTTTACATTTTCTCCTCATATATCATCCCCTCTCTAATCTGGCCTGTGTGCATTGCACAAGCACACGTGCCACTGTGCTCGGGCCTTGGGGCTGTCAGTTTTCTAATTTCCTTTTCTCAAAGGTGAAAGTTTTGTGATTATTTTTTGTCTTAAGGTTTCCCTTCATTATATCTATTTTCAGTGGAGGACTAAATTTAGGAAGGCAATGAACAAAGCTGATAACGATGCAGGTAGCAGGGCAATTGATTCACTTATTAATTATGAGGTGAGTTTGTGATGTGTCTTTCATGAATATCTTTATTTCGATGTAGCTTATCAAAAGAGAGAGGAAAAAAAAAAGAAAAGGATTAGCATCTTTCTTGTGATGTCAAAATATTGCCTTATAGTTTGTGTGATCTTTTCACATTTGCTGATATATTGTCAGACTGTAAAGTATTTCAACAATGAGGCTTTTGAAGTGGGGAAGTATGATGAATTTTTGAAGAGTAAGTTGCTTGTGTTTTACAGAAGTCCTTCCTTTATGATTTATTTTTGCAGTGTGACCAACAATAGAGCTAAATGGGAAAATGGGAGTCATGTCTCCAAGCTTATGCAGCTAGGTGTTGGGATAAGGCTCTAATATTGTTGTTGGATAACAAAGCCAGATCCAATTGTTGTCTAGTGGTCATTGACGTTGTTGCTTATGCATAGACACAGGCCCATGTGTTGACATTTTCACATGTCAGCAATTCGATTTGGCCTTCCATTCTAAATAAATGGATATCACAAGCGGACTAATGTTTTTTGACTGACGGTGTCTTTGCAATTGTATTCTGGTTGTCCTAGGTATTTAGAAACTGTGGTATAACAACATAATTGATAGCCTCCTATGACAGGAGGTGTCATTTCATTTATCTTTTTCTTTTTGGGTTTAAATAGGTTAGTCTTATTGATTCATGATGATGATGCTATCTTCCAGAATATGAAGATGCTGCCTTGAAAACGCAGCAAAGTCTTGCGTATTTGAACTTTGGGCAAAATGTGATATTTAGCACAGCTTTGTCAGCAGCCATGGTGCTGTGTTCACATGGGATTATGGCTGGCAAGATGACAGTTGGTGATTTGGTAGAACATTTATTGCGTATGCTCTCTTTTTTAGCTTTCATACAGTCATAGAAATTGAGTAATGGTTATAATATTCAATTATGATGCAGGTTATGGTGCATGGGCTCCTATTTCAGCTGTCTTTTCCTCTCAACTTCCTTGGCAGTGTTTATCGTGAGACTGTACAGAGTCTTATTGATATGAAATCCATGTTTCACTTACTTGAGGTATCTGCCAACTTTCTAAATATCCTAGCAGTTTCAATTTTATAAATCCATTTTGAGTTAATTCATGTCATCAATTATTTTGGAGCCTGTGGGTCTTTCTGATGTTTGGTAGTATTATTCCTGAGATTTGCTCATATCTTGAGGTAATCACTTAATTAAAAAATTGGAAAAAGAAGAATATGCCAATTATCAAAAAACACAGCCTAATGCACAAGGTTACTGCCACTACGAGGTCTGGGGTGGATCAAATGTACGCGTCCTGACCTTTGCATGTGGAGGTATGCAAGGCTGTTTCCACAACATGAACCTTTGATGCCCATGTCACAATGAGGTGGGTAGAGGTTGGTGCATAAGGGGAAACACATTCCCAATATGAAGATGAAGAGTCTATTGGAGGTCTGCATTGTTGTTTACAAGTGCATGATAACTCACAATTCGTTTGGTTAAAAAATTGTTTTGCATTACCTTTCATATTCTATATGAAAGCTGCATGCTGGAAAAAGCAAGATTATCTCATTGCCCCACTCATTCTACTTGTCAAAAAGTATCCCACTACTCTACCCCCTTTTACTAAATAACTAAGCAAAGAGAGAACAGTAGGACAAAAGTGGTAAAGAGAAGAAAATTTATTGTTTTGTTTTGATGCTATTTTTGAATGCTCATGGAAACATAAAGAACTGTTTTGTCTTATAAGCATCACTATAGTTAATGTTTACTTTTGGATCCTTTGATTAGTTAACATGTCTTTGCTTAATTAGTTGAGTCGGTAGAGGTGTGGAGTTCCCAAAGCCCGAGAAGAGAATGAAATGGGTGGCTAAAGCTTAAGGTAATATCCTAGTTGACGTACAGGCCTCTCCTTGTAATGCATTTGGAAACCAATGGAGGGAAAATGTACAAACGAGAACCTGATTCTTACTTCAAATTTCAATACATTAGACACTGGACACAGAAAATTTCAGCTCTCATTCCTTCAAATCCTGACACGTGGCTTACAAAAGTTAGAGAAAGATTTCTTTAGAGGTAAAATGTTCAATGTGCCTCTAGAGTCCAGAGTGTCAAGTAATTGCTAGACATTAGAACCCGGAAGACCCATCGGTCCATGACACCCCATGGTGCAGGGCAAATGCTGAAAAATACTCTGCAAGAGGTTTGGTTGCCTAGATCGCTGTTACTATACAAAGTAGGCTTTGTGGCTGGCGATTGAGGTAAGTAACAGGAGTTTAGACGTAAAATAAAGAAAAAGAATGTTTGTTCTGCTTGCTGTTGCTGATGTATCTTTGACTCTTCTTGTCATTCTTATTTTGCTTACTCGGGTTTTAGTTTTGAAGTAGTATACTTGATAGGGGAGGGTGGCTTAATAGAGTATATCTTTTGGGTTGAAAAGAGAAGTTTAACTGTCTAATATGAGGCCTAAAATACAAGAACGAGAGAAGTTGAATCTAATAATTCCACCTATAGTTTTTTAGAATCACCTTGTAAGATGAGATTGCATCATACACGAGTGACCCAAAACCTAAACAAAACTTCTCATTATACATGATGCATTTTTATTTTTGAGATAAGTCAATGAAGTAAATAAAGCAAGTATTTGTTTAGAACAATTTATGAGATTTTGTGCAAGAAAAATTAAAATTTTGACCTCAAAATGGCTATCTATTCGACACGATGTGCTATTAAACAAGCTTCTCTTATAATATGTCATTGTCCCAAATTTATGATTTAATGAGTGTAGGAAGTGAAAGTGAGAATTTGGTGCGAGGATCTTATTTAGGTGATTATATATATTTGATATTTTAGATGTGTTACCATCGAAATGCCTTGTTTTATACTCAATTAGGATTGATGGATTGGTTCAATTTATTTTACCATTGAGTACAATATAAAATAAATAAGAGTATCTACATTTATTGATGTAACTTTTTGGTATCCTAGATCTTTTTTTTTTCTTCAGGATTTTTTCATATTGTTAATCTTTATCGTGTCGTACCCGTATTCATACACGTGCCTTCCCTAGGTTATATGTCAGCTGTTGAGACTTGAGAGCATTGGCTTTTGTTGGTTGAGTTGACCGTGACATTAGACATTGATCACTAATTTATGGAGTTTCTCATGTGATGAGGGACTTCATCTTGAATTCATAAACTCATGGAGAAGAACTGTTGTGGCTGTGGAGGAAGTTTGCTCTTTTAGATTTAGATATAGTCTTTTTTTTTTAAGTTTCTCACTCTCTCTTATTGGCATCACGTGTTTGCAAATTAGTATTGCTCTGAAATTTTCACCTTGTAACTGTCTTGTTATTATGCCTTTATTATTGTTTACTTGCTATGGTTCTGCAGGAAAGGGCTGAAATTAGAGATGGAGATGATGCAAAACCTCTGAGGTCAAATGGCGGTAGCATTCAATTTGACAATGTTCACTTCAGGTGCCTCTTCTTCGTATACCACTAGTCCTTCTTACTGTGTTTTTTTTTTTTGTGGGGCGCGTGGCTTGTATATTACTTTACAAGTAGCACCATGCACAAACACACGATTGTGGTCATTTATTTGTGTTCATTGATGTAAATAAAATATCAATGGTACTATGCACACCATCTAGTGTCTCTTTACTACACAATATTAAAAGCTTCACTCTCATAGAAATAATTCCTCCTCCCCCTTCCCTTTCCGTAACTCCTCCCCAAAAAAGGTAGAATTCTAGAGCAAGGGACGGAGGTAAAGTGTGTTGTCATCCTTGCATTTACTTTCTAGGTGTGTGGTGTCATATACCTCCAACTTGTAAGCACATGTATGTCATATGTGATCTTTGTAACACTTGCCTTGTGTTATTATGTGGACTTTCCAACTTTCACTCTTTTTCACGATTGCATATTGAACCTTTTGAATCTATATGGTTTTGATCATGTACTTTTTTTGTGTTGGCATTGTGCTTCAATTGGGTTGTCTAAGTCAGATAATCTTTTTGTCAGCTCATTGTATGGGTCAACAAGCATTATCTCTTTGTACTTGAAAGAGTATTTTTTAACTTCATGAGTACAATACAAATAGTTGTTGGATTGATCTTTATGGCAAACATTTTGATTGATGATTTCTAGACCTACGGGATTACCATTTCAGATTTGAATTGGGAGCTAGGAAGTATGGGTACGGATACATAATACAAACACAACTATGCGAAAAAACCTAAAAAGTATGATCAGTACGACCAAGATCTATGAAGCACGGTCACTCTCAAGAAGGTGATGTATTCGTGTTGGACACCGGCACTCTTTTGACACTCTCGGATACGTGTCCGATACTCTTTTATCCGTGTTCATAATTAAATGATAAAATCTTAATTTCGAACATGTATCCGACACTTCTTTGGTGACGTATCCAATACTTCTTTAAACCGTGTCTACTACCAAACAATAAACATGTGTTGACATGTGATTAACAAGTTTAAAAATTTGACTATTAAGTATCTTATACTATGAGAGGACATATAATTACCAAGACTAGATATGTTAAAGTTATAATCAAAATATAATAATAAAAACAAAAGGTATATAAAAAATTTAGAAAAGAACAATCATATAAAGTATATATCTATAGTACACGTCTAAGAAAAAATTGATAATTATTTATTATTATGATATTTGTGTAAATATTCACACTAAATGACTAGAGATATCATTTATTTATCATAAAATACTTAATTTTTTATGAATAAGTTTATCACTATCACTATATTTGTGATAAANTAATGTGCCTCTAGAGTCCAGAGTGTCAAGTAATTGCTAGACATTAGAACCCGGAAGACCCATCGGTCCATGACACCCCATGGTGCAGGGCAAATGCTGAAAAATACTCTGCAAGAGGTTTGGTTGCCTAGATCGCTGTTACTATACAAAGTAGGCTTTGTGGCTGGCGATTGAGGTAAGTAACAGGAGTTTAGACGTAAAATAAAGAAAAAGAATGTTTGTTCTGCTTGCTGTTGCTGATGTATCTTTGACTCTTCTTGTCATTCTTATTTTGCTTACTCGGGTTTTAGTTTTGAAGTAGTATACTTGATAGGGGAGGGTGGCTTAATAGAGTATATCTTTTGGGTTGAAAAGAGAAGTTTAACTGTCTAATATGAGGCCTAAAATACAAGAACGAGAGAAGTTGAATCTAATAATTCCACCTATAGTTTTTTAGAATCACCTTGTAAGATGAGATTGCATCATACACGAGTGACCCAAAACCTAAACAAAACTTCTCATTATACATGATGCATTTTTATTTTTGAGATAAGTCAATGAAGTAAATAAAGCAAGTATTTGTTTAGAACAATTTATGAGATTTTGTGCAAGAAAAATTAAAATTTTGACCTCAAAATGGCTATCTATTCGACACGATGTGCTATTAAACAAGCTTCTCTTATAATATGTCATTGTCCCAAATTTATGATTTAACGAGTGTAGGAAGTGAAAGTGAGAATTTGGTGCGAGGATCTTATTTAGGTGATTATATATATTTGATATTTTAGATGTGTTACCATCGAAATGCCTTGTTTTATACTCAATTAGGATTGATGGATTGGTTCAATTTATTTTACCATTGAGTACAATATAAAATAAATAAGAATATCTACATTTATTGATGTAACTTTTTGGTATCCTAGATCTTTTTTTTTTTCTTCAGGATTTTTTCATATTGTTAATCTTTATCGTGTCGTACCCGTATTCATACACGTGCCTTCCCTAGGTTATATGTCAGCTGTTGAGACTTGAGAGCATTGGCTTTTGTTGGTTGAGTTGACCGTGACATTAGACATTGATCACTAATTTATGGAGTTTCTCATGTGATGAGGGACTTCATCTTGAATTCATAAACTCATGGAGAAGAACTGTTGTGGCTGTGGAGGAAGTTTGCTCTTTTAGATTTAGATATAGTCTTTTTTTTTTAAGTTTCTCACTCTCTCTTATTGGCATCACGTGTTTGCAAATTAGTATTGCTCTGAAATTTTCACCTTGTAACTGTCTTGTTATTATGCCTTTATTATTGTTTACTTGCTATGGTTCTGCAGGAAAGGGCTGAAATTAGAGATGGAGATGATGCAAAACCTCTGAGGTCAAATGGCGGTAGCATTCAATTTGACAATGTTCACTTCAGGTGCCTCTTCTTCGTATACCACTAGTCCTTCTTACTGTGTTTTTTTTTTTTGTGGGGCGCGTGGCTTGTATATTACTTTACAAGTAGCACCATGCACAAACACACGATTGTGGTCATTTATTTGTGTTCATTGATGTAAATAAAATATCAATGGTACTATGCACACCATCTAGTGTCTCTTTACTACACAATATTAAAAGCTTCACTCTCATAGAAATAATTCCTCCTCCCCCTTCCCTTTCCGTAACTCCTCCCCAAAAAAGGTAGAATTCTAGAGCAAGGGACGGAGGTAAAGTGTGTTGTCATCCTTGCATTTACTTTCTAGGTGTGTGGTGTCATATACCTCCAACTTGTAAGCACATGTATGTCATATGTGATCTTTGTAACACTTGCCTTGTGTTATTATGTGGACTTTCCAACTTTCACTCTTTTTCACGATTGCATATTGAACCTTTTGAATCTATATGGTTTTGATCATGTACTTTTTTTGTGTTGGCATTGTGCTTCAATTGGGTTGTCTAAGTCAGATAATCTTTTTGTCAGCTCATTGTATGGGTCAACAAGCATTATCTCTTTGTACTTGAAAGAGTATTTTTTAACTTCATGAGTACAATACAAATAGTTGTTGGATTGATCTTTATGGCAAACATTTTGATTGATGATTTCTAGACCTACGGGATTACCATTTCAGATTTGAATTGGGAGCTAGGAAGTATGGGTACGGATACATAATACAAACACAACTATGCGACAANCTTTTTGTTTCCAGTGTATCTGTAGTTGTTTCTCAGAGTATAATCGAGCAACAATTCATTTATTGGTGATATTTACTGGTTCTGCCTGGACGCTGATGAGTATTTTGAAAATCTCAGCAAAAAGGAGTGAGAAAAAATATTTTCTTGTTGCTATATATTCTCTCTTTCAGACTCAATACAGATGTTGTGTTGCATGCCATTAAAAATCTCATGGATGTTGACTGGGGACTTGTGACATTTTGGATCTTTTCTTCAGTCTGTTTGCAAATATGCAGAATTATGGCTTGTTTCCATCTTTCTTTGTATATGCAGACCATGAAGTTGTACAATTATATATTTTGTGCGATTTAATTTTGTTGCTGTTGTAATTTTTATGGCCCTGTGGATTAGCACCTGTTGATGCATATTATTTGTTCCACTTGCTGTAGCTATCTGCCAGAAAGAAAGATTCTTGATGGGATATCGTTTAGTGTTCCAGCTGGAAAAAGTGTGGCTATTGTCGGAACCAGTGGTAGTGGTAAGGTTTCAGATGTTTCTTTACCTCACTGGTTCTCTATTTTAGATCCAAAGTGCTTGTTGACGCAAACTTCTCAAATTTTCTTGTTTGATGTCTTATGTTTTTTGTCAAATGAGATGATATACCTCTCTCCTCTTTGATCAGCTTGTAAGAAATTCCTGCCTTATTGCAAAATTCTTATGGATATCGCAGGGAACAATGCAATTTTTATTGGGCTGGAAAACATCATGATTAACTCCTAAATGGATAAGGTTTGTAGACTAGGAAAGATAAGGGGATAAAGATTTAGAAGGTCAGAGGACGTCAGTGTGGCTTTTATTTCTGCGTGGTTAGTAAAAATGGTAATTGAAAGATACCATTGAGAGAACTTTTTTGTTTGCGGTTTTCCCTCCAAACCTGAGGAAAGCTCATTTTTTGGTATACAAATGTTTTTCTGGGAACCATATATCTGTAGTAGCTTATAAGTACGGCATGATGTTGACAGTTGGCAAAGGAAAATTCATTTTATTTTTGGAATAGTTATAGGTTTTGAGAAACCACTATTTCAAGTAGGTCCCATGTCTTACGAGAAATATGCTGATTTGTAGTTGGAACATGTAATTTGATATGGGCATTGTTGAGAGGTGGCAACACAAGTCGTGACAGATCTGGGACTTTCAATGACAATTGAAGTTTCTTGTAGTGTCAAGTTTCCTTCGTTATTGTGCTCAATTGAAGTTTCTTGATTGTGTAAACTTCTAATTCTTCATTATGCACATATGGTAAGAGTCATTGATATATAATTTTTCAATGATGTGCAGGGAAATCAACCATTCTTAGATTGCTCTTCAGATTTTTTGACCCTAATTCTGGAAATGTAAGAAGGGACACTTCTCTGATGTTGTATGCTTTAGGCTTTATGTAGAAGTCATACAGCCATATCTAACTAGCCTAATCCTGTTTAAATCTTTATGAAATTATCTGCTATGATAGCTCTTCTCATGTGGTGTAGATGCTAGCATTTTAAAGAAAGATAATTAAAAATCAAAAGAGCAAAAATAAAACACTCAAATCTTTTTCAAAAAGGAATGCTGGTGCACATTGTTAAGTTTGGAGAGTTAACACAATATTAGTGACAACTGAGAGTGGTCACAAACTTAACCTACTTCTCATACATCACTTGTATTTATAGTTAACTTACAATAATCAGAAATATGAATACACCCTCTAATATTTACACATATTACCCTAATACTCTTAACAATTTACACATAATATCTTAATACTCTTAACATTCCCCCTCAAATTGGACTATATATATCATATAATTCAAGCTTGGAACAAATCGCTGTAAGACGTGTACGACTCAATGCTTTGGTAAACATATCTGCAAGCTGATATTCAAATTTCACAAATAGAGTTGTAATCTCCCCGACTATTATCTTGTCTCGAATAAAGTGACAATCAAACTCAATATGTTTGGTTATCTCGTGAAATACTGGGTTGACAACGATATGGATAGTTGCTTGGTTGTCACAGAACAACTATAAAGAAAGTTGAACTAGATATTCAATTTCCTGGAGGAAGTGTAGTAGTCAAGTCAACTCACTCGTCGTATGTGTCATTGCCCTATACTCAGCCTCAGCACTGGATCTTTCTTCCACGGATTGTTTCTTACTTTTCAATGAGATAACGTTACCTCTTAAGAAAGTACAATAACCAGTAGTTGATCTCCGATCAGAAGGAGAGCCAACCCAATTAGCATTTAAGAAACCTTCCACTCTATGATGTCCATTAGCTTAATATAACAGGCCAAGGCCAGGAGCACGTTTAAGATATCGCAGAATACGAGTAACTTTCTCCCAATGTGGTACTCTAGGACATCTCATAAACTGACTTACTACACTGATTGCATAGGAAATATCCGGTCGAGTAATAGTGAGATAATTGGGCTTCCCAACCAATTTGCGATACTGAACCGGATTCGCAAACAGTGCACCATCGTCCATCAACAGTTTTTAATTTGGATCCATAGGAACATCAATCAGTCTGCCACCCAGCAAATCTGCTTCCTCTAGCATGTCAAGTACATATTTCCTTTGAGATAAACAAATTCCTTGTTTAGATCGAGCTACCTCAATACCCAAGAAATGCTTGAGTTTTTCTAAATCCTTAGTATGAAATTGATCTTGCAAGAAGATTTTTAACTTATCAATCCCCTTAAAATCATTTCTAGTAATCACAATATCATCTACATAGACCACCAATAGAACGTATCCAACATCCGTCTGTTTATGAAACACAGAATAGTCTGTCTGACATCGAAGAAGACCAAACTCTTAAAGTGCATCTGAAAACTTACCAAACCTTGCCCTCGGTGACTACTTCAAACTATACAAGGATTTCTTTAACCGACATACACTTTTACCGTACTCTCCTTGAGCAGTAAACCCAGGTGGCTGCTCTATGTATACCTCTTCAACCAAGTCACCATGTAGTAAGGCATTCTTGACCTCTAATTGAAACAAGGGACAATCAAGATTAGTAGCCAAAGATATCAAGATATGAGTAAATGAAAATTTGGCAATAGGAGAGAAAGTCTCTTTATAATCAACACCATAGGTCTGAGTAAAGCTCTTTGTAACAAATCGAACTTTAAGACACTCCATAGAACCATCCAGATGAAATTTAACTATATACACCTAACGATAACCAACAATTCGTTTACCAGGAGATAAAGGAATAAGATCTCAAGTCCCATTATGATGTAAGGCATCCATCTCCTCCTCCATAGCTTTCCTTCAACCAGGGTCAGATAATGTATCATATAAGTGCTTAAGAATAGATATAACAAATAATTGAGAGGTAAAACAAAAGAAGACAGAAAACAAGGTATCATATGAAACAAAATGAGCAATGAGATGATTAGTAACACACGAACGAGTACCTTTTTGAAGAGTAATTGGTAAAGAGTCTAAATTACCTTATGTACCAGGATCAGAAGACGGCAAGAAAGATGGTACGGACACCTCAGCCGATGGACGAGGACGACGAGAGTATACACGAAGAGGTAAAGTAGATGGTACAATAGTAGGCAGCAGAATTTCTGAAGATGAAGGAAGAGATAGTGGTATAAGAGACGACCCAAAGTCCAGATCCAAAGGTTGAGCAGTTGCCGAAAAATATGGAACAAATTTCTCAAACGTGATATCAACACTAGTAAAGTATCGTCGCAAAGAAGGACTATAGCAATGATATCCCTTCTGTGTGCGGGAGTATCCAAGAAATACACATTTGGTTGCTCGAGGATCAAGTTTATCAAACCCAGGACCCAAATTGTGAACATAACAGACACATCCAAAAACCTTAGGAGTTAGGAAAAATAAGAGCTTACAAGGAAAAAGAATAGAATATGGGTTTTTTGCCCATTTAACACAGAGGATGAAATACGATTAATAAGATGATAAGCAGTAAGAACAGTATCACTCTAAAAATATCAGGGAATATTCATCTGGAATAATAGGATACGGGTGACTTCCAACAAATGACGGTTCTTGCATTTAGCAACACCATTCTGTGGAGAGGTGTACGCACAAGAAGTCTGATGAATAATGTCAATTTTACTAAGATAAGTTGAAAAAAGATCAAATTCATATTTTCGAGCATTATCAGAACGTAAAATACGTATATGACAACCATAATGAGTTTTTATTTCGTTGCGAAAGGTCTCAAATATATAGAATAACTCAGAACGAGCTTTCATCAGAAACAATCAGGTCACACGAGAATAATTATCTACAAATGACACAAAATAAGGATATTTATTAGATAAAATATTCTTTATTAGACCTCATACATTAGAATGTGCCAACTTAAATGGACTAGACATTCGATTATTGACTCTAGACTGAAAAGATACGGTGATGCTTACTAAGTTGACAAGCTTCACAAGACAAAAATGACACAGAACTAAGATTGAGAACNGTAATCTCCCCGACTATTATTTTGTCTCGAATAAAGTGACAATCAAACTCAATATGTTTGGTTATCTCGTGAAATACTGGGTTGACAACGATATGGATAGTTGCTTGGTTGTCACAGAACAACTATAAAGAAAGTTGAACTAGATATTCAATTTCCTGGAGGAAGTGTAGTAGTCAAGTCAACTCACTCGTCGTATGTGTCATTGCCCTATACTCAGCCTCAGCACTGGATCTTTCTTTCACGGATTGTTTCTTACTTTTCAATGAGATAACGTTACCTCTTAAGAAAGTACAATAACCAGTAGTTGATCTCCGATCAGAAGGAGAGCCAACCCAATTAGCATTTAAGAAACCTTCCACTCTATGATGTCCATTAGCTTAATATAACAGGCCAAGGCCAGGAGCACGTTTAAGATATCGCAGAATACGAGTAACTTTCTCCCAATGTGGTACTCTAGGACATCTCATAAACTGACTTATTACAGTGATTGCATAGGAAATATCCGGCCGAGTAATAGTGAGATAATTGGGCTTCCCAACCAATTTGCGATACTGACCCGGATTCGCAAACAGTGCACCATCGTCCATCAACAGTTTTTAATTTGGATCCATAGGAACATCAATCAGTCTGCCACCCAGTAAATCTGCTTCCTCTAGCATGTCAAGTACATATTTCTTTTGAGATAAACAAATTCCTTGTTTAGATCGAGCTACCTCAATACCCAAGAAATGCTTGAGTTTTTCTAAATCCTTAGTATGAAATTGATCTTGCAAGAAGATTTTTAACTTATCAATCCCCTTAAAATCATTTCTAGTAATCACAATATCATCTACATAGACCACCAATAGAACGTATCCAACATCCGTCTGTTTATGAAACACAGAATAGTCTGTCTGACATCGAAGAAGACCAAACTCTTAAAGTGCATCTGAAAACTTACCAAACCTTGCCCTCGGTGACTACTTCAAACTATACAAGGATTTCTTTAACCGACATACACTTTTACCGTACTCTCCTTGAGCAGTAAACCCAGGTGGCTGCTCTATGTATACCTCTTCAACCAAGTCACCATGTAGTAAGGCATTCTTGACCTCTAATTGAAACAAGGGACAATCAAGATTAGTAGCCAAAGATATCAAGATATGAGTAAATGAAAATTTGGCAATAGGAGAGAAAGTCTCTTTATAATCAACACCATAGGTCTGAGTAAAGCTCTTTGTAACAAATCGAACTTTAAGACACTCCATAGAACCATCCAGATGAAATTTAACTATATACACCTAACGATAACCAACAATTCGTTTACCAGGAGATAAAGGAATAAGATCTCAAGTCCCATTATGATGTAAGGCATCCATCTCCTCCTCCATAGCTTTCCTTCAACCAGGGTCAGATAATGTATCATATAAGTGCTTAAGAATAGATATAACAAATAATTGAGAGGTAAAACAAAAGAAGACAGAAAACAAGGTATCATATGAAACAAAATGAGCAATGAGATGATTAGTAACACACGAACGAGTACCTTTTTGAAGAGTAATTGGTAAAGAGTCTAAATTACCTTATGTACCAGGATCAGAAGGCGGTAAGAAAGATGGTACGGACACCTCAGCCGATGGACGAGGACGACGAGAGTATACACGAAGAGGTAAAGTAGATGGTACAATAGTAGGCAGCAGAATTTCTGAAGATGAAGGAAGAGATAGTGGTATAAGAGACGACCCAAAGTCCAGATCCAAAGGTTGAGCAGTTGCCGAAAAATATGGAACAAATTTCTCAAACGTGATATCAACACTAGTAAAGTATCGTCGCAAAGAAGGACTATAGCAATGATATCCCTTCTGTGTGCGGGAGTATCCAAGAAATACACATTTGGTTGCTCGAGGATCAAGTTTATCAAACCCAGGACCCAAATTGTGAACATAACAGACACATCCAAAA